TCCTTTTTAATCAAAAGTGGTGAATTAAAGTGCAAAAAGAAAGATTTTCACAATCAAATCAACGCGTTTCTTCTGTTTTGAATAGAAGTTATTAAATATGATGAAAAGCTGCATGTTAGACTTTATAATGGTCACTGCTAAACACACACATCTGTAACATTCCACGACAAATGTCATCACTGACATGTACAACACTACTACTACTATCCTTATTATTGTCTTAATTTACAATAATACTCTTGTGGAGGGCCAGATTAACACTTTGTTGTACCCTGGGCAACAATATTCAAGGGCCCCATCATCACGACCCAAGGATCACCATAATATGGTCACATACAGAATATTTTACTGTAATATGCAGTAAATATACTCAATACTTGAATGCCTGACGTCACGTAACCCGCTCAGGGTATTATTTGACCCACCTTGTGTGGACTGACCAATGAGGAGAGGGTCTTAACTTGAGGCCCTCTCTCCATTGGTCAGTCTGCATGAGACTGACTCTCAACTGACGTTCAGTCATAGGCAGCGAAGCGTCTCTGTGCAGTGCAAAAGCCCGGGTGGACAGTTTGTTTAATACAGGGTGATCATATTTCCATTTCCAAAAAGAGGACAGGGGATCTGTGCCTATGACGTCACACTATGGCAACGCCACACAAACCACGTTGGGACCCATTTTTTTGTGAGAACTACATTAATACCAGATTCTGCCGATAAAAGGGCTCTAAAACAATTCATAAGTAAATATTTGGCATATTTATTGCAAAATCTCATTTTTCTGCTTTAGTGCTGCAACAAGGTTTTATTAATAATAAATTAATAATAAATGATAAATAAATAATAAATTATTATACCTTTTGTTTTACTACAGCATCGGTATGCTTCATGTGCACACCACAGCACACACATATATCACACAAGAGGCTTGTGTGATATATGTGTGTGCTGCTGCTGCCGTCCTCTCTCCTTGAGCCATTGCAATGATGCATTTTCCCAAATGAGGGACAAATAAAGGTGTTATTATATTCTTAAGACTCAAATATTTATTATATCTCGGTTAGAATTTAACATCAAAGTGATTCTGTGGGTCATCAGAAGGGACCTCTTCACCGACAGAATAATTCGGTCTTTCATTTATGATTTCTGTTAGGATGAATCCAAAGGTTGGAATCATAGGTGGACAGAGTCAAAGCTCCGTCAGATGAGCTCTTTGTTTGTCCGAACGCATTCCGGAAGTAGAGGAAGAGTATTTCCTTAGCGCGATAAAAAGATCCGCGTTGATTGAAGACAAAATCTGTATCCACTCGCGCGCATGCGCGGAAGCCCTACAGCTCGAGCTTGTCTGCTGACCTCGCGGTGACTCCTTGTCATCCATAATTCATGAGACTTGGATAGCCGTTCATCCCCATCAGCGTCCAAAGGTCATCTGTCTTCACATATTGGTCACTGGGTACGCGGACTGTGACGTCATTCGCCTTGACGTGCACTGCAATAAAGTCAGGACTAAAACGAAGGAGCAAGAAAGTTGAACGTGTGTGCGTGTGCGCGTGCATAAGACTCCAGGCTATGTGTCTTGTCGCCCCTATGGCCTCCAAATTACACACACACACACACACACACACACACACACACACACACACACACACACACACACACACACACACACACACACACACACACACACACACACACACACACACACACATACACGCAGTACCTTCTACAAGCCCGTACACATCGTGCACATTAAGCCTGGAGCCTGTGCAAACGGGAAACCGCCACCCGCACACGGATCCCGACATGATCACGTGGCCTGTTCAGGCATGCGGAGCTGCGCGTGAGACAGACACGCCTTTCTGTTTCATCATTAAATACAGGAAGTAAATTAACTGTTTTCCATACCTGTTCACTTAACTGAAGCTTCAGCAAGGTAATCTCCAAACCCGCCTCGAGGTCGACCCCAGCGCGCGAGGAAACGCAGAAAATTATTATTATTATTATTATTATTATTATTATTATTATTATTATTATTATTATTATTATATTATTATTAATCCATTCTATGCAGGGCGGAAAGCAGGAACTAGACCATTTGATCTACTCCATGGTTTCTCTTCCTTCTGTTGTGTCCAGGAAGGAAGCTGCTGAGGCACCAGGACTGACTGAAAACAACAAATGGGTCTGGGAGCAGAAAAGTCATCCCAGGAACACAATCCTCCTTCTTGTTCCATCTTGTGGTTCCAGCGAGCAAGACGAGGGGAAGGAGCAGTTCCAAATACGGCTCCCAGTAGGAGAAAACTGCGTCAGCCAAACTAAAGACTGTCTCGGTTAATTAATCATTTAAAGACATTTACTCCTTAAATTGTTGGTTTTGTTTCTGCAGCATTCTCGCGGTGATGTTTGCCTGATATGTGATGTAGTTTATCTCCTTTCCCTGGAAATGTGCATGCAGACATTGGCTGTTTACTTCTGTTTTATTTTGTTATGTTCGACCCATATTTATTATTATTATTATTATTATTATTATTATTATTATTATTATTATTATTATTTAGCATGAGTTGACGGCCAATTTAGTTTAGTGAGTTTTTATTCACATAAGTTATTTCCAAGGAGACCCTCAACGGTTGTGTTCTTCAGTCACGTGACCTCGTCGGTAAATCTGTCGTGATTTGATTTTACCGTCGGAATGTAGGTACGGGAGTTAGAAATATAAGTACTGTTGGTTTTCTGGCTTTCATGCCGAGGTACATAAAACTCATTTCTGCAGCTCACAGTTTCCAACACTCACTGTAATTTGATATTCATAAATAAATAAATAAATAAATAAATAAATAAATAATATTTGATTCTGCTGTGACCCTGTACCTACTTGATGTGTGTGTGTGTGTGTGTGTGTGTGTGTGTATGTGTGTGTGTGTGTGTGTGTGTGTGTGTGTGTGTGTGTGTGTGTGTGTGTGTGTGTGTGTGTGTGTGTGTGTGTGTGTGTGTGGATGATCAGAGCAATCAGGGGTGTTTTTGTCTGCGTGCCAATAGATTCCAGTTTATTTATGGAGGCAGTTAATAATATTCCGCTCAAAGTGTCAAACAAAGAACCAACAAAGTTCGGATGACGATCTGAACTGATCTTCTGGGTAGTTTAGTCAGCCTCTCGGTGAGGATGTATCCAGTAAAACACTCTTTAAAACACAAGATGATAAACGTGTTGGTGAAGGCGAGCGTCTCCAGCACAGCGGGGCCGGAACAGAGCAACATGCACAATATCTCTGGGTCTGTGTGCCATCTTTACGCACACACCGTAGGACCTATGAGTTCTTATGTGAGCTCGCGACATTCACCAGGCCCCAACACAGCAGAGCTGGATGGCATTCCTCTGTTTCCACATGTGAGTTCAAACAGAAAACCAAGACATGGTGAGTGAGTGACATGGTAATTACACACAGTAGCGGTCAGCAGCCGCCTGGGGCCCCCCTATGTTGGGGGGCCCCTAGCCCTGACTGCTGGCACCCCTCTGTTAATGCCACAATGGACTATTCCTTTAAGACTCAATGCAAAAACAGGAAGTGATTGGTAGTCATTCCACTCCAATCCAGTGGGTGGCAATAATGCACCAAATAGTTGTTTGCCAAGTGCCACAAGACCACAGTTAAGAAGAAGAGGAGAGGCCGGAGCGTTCGTAACAAAGTCGACACCATAGTCAAAACATGGAGCATGAAACTGAGTTATCCTATGTGGCTCCAATAAGAGAAAGCAGCAGTTTGATTTAAAAAAGCTTTTATCTTCACTTCTGAAAGTAACGTCGTTTTTCTAGTAAACATCAAAAGGAAGCAGAAGGGAAAGGCGATGGAAAATGTTTAAAGGGAGGAAAACAGAGACCAAAATGGAAAATAGAAGAAAAAACAAAGGCTAAAGCACAGGAGCACTGACAGGAAGAAGAAAGCACTCACAGGGAGAGAGACAGGAAAAAGAGGAGGACTAATAAAAACGGAAAATAACTCGTGTCAGAAGAGGGGAGAGTTTCACAAATCCAGTTAAAGATAAGATTGTCTAAAATTTAGTGTAAGGGGCCCCATGTCTGTGTTCGCCTTTGGCCCCCAAATTGCTAAATCCGCCCCTGATTACACAGCCCCCTTTCTCCCACTTAGAGCCCACTCTGCTCCCACGTACACACAGCCCTCTGCTCCACTTACTGCGTCTTCACAAGATTCCCAGAGTCCAGAGCGAAACAGACCGGAGATCTCGGGGCTCCAAGTGCGAACCGGAGCAGGAGCTGCTGGTAATAGTGTCCTCTTCTCTCTCGTTTTCCCTCTCTCACTTTCACACACTCATGCACTGGAGCACGCGCAAACACACACTTCCACTCCCGCTTTGTTTCTACTTTACTGACCCTCGTTGGATCGTCTCACAGCCGTTAAACCGTCACTTGCTTTCTAGAATGTGAAATATATAGTGCACCGTCAACTCCCCCAAACCATAAAACCAACTTTATGGACCCCACGTGACCGAGGGTGAGCCAGTGAGAGTAGGCCCGAGCTTTACGATCCAACTTGGAGATAAAACCCTCATCTTTTAGACGTAGAAGTGTCAAATTTTCCTCCGGCTTCACCGTCTGGCCCAAAGCGCGCGCTGCGCGGGGGGAGATGGGGGCAATATCCGTGCACAGTGCACTCAGAGAGCGGCCGCGAGACCGTTCGGATCAGCCGCAGAAGGACATCTCCCGACGGTCCCGTTAGAGATATGGCACCGTTCTGATCTGGTGAGTTTAAAGTTCAACAGGTGGCCCAGGAGACGGGAACCGGATTATACCGGAATCGGTTTCGCTCAGGGCGGTGAGACAGAAGAGCATCTAATTAGAGCTGATGGTTTGTTGTCAGTGTGTGTGTGTGTGTGTGTGTGTGTGTGTGTGTGTGTGTGTGTGTGTGTGTGTGTGTGTGTGGTTTGTGTGTGTGGGGGGTGGGAGGAGGGGGGAGGCATAGGAGTCTGAGACATTTCTCCAGAAGATCGTTTCTAGTCCACCGTGAGGGTTTCATGACAAAATTTATTTCTCCTTTTGTTTTGACTCAAACTACAAACCATACAAAAAGCACCGGTTATAGAACTACACCACATAGATGCGACAAGGAAGGCTGGGGGCTGATTTATATTCACACACACACACACACACACACACACACACACACACACACACACACACACACACGCACGCACGCACGCACGCACGCACACACACACACACACACACACACACACACACACACACACACACAGCACAACATTGCACTTGACAACAATGGTCAGAGCGAGTGGATAAATGTCATGTTTTCATATCCTCTCACGTTCATGACTACATCAGGAGCTGTAGGCTAGGCCATAGCTAATGTGACAACATCACGCGCTGATGAATTCTAGATTAGATTTTAATCCGGGACCAGTTTCTTCTCTGACAGCTTCACTAGAGGTGATTCTGTTCAAGTTTTCTTCATTTCATTCAGCTAATGGTTCCGTCTCCGTCCTGTCAGGCTTGCAGGTCCGCACGGATCGGTGCGGTTCGGGTCCGTTCTGAATGTTTAAGCCTGGAAGGCGCCGCTGTCCGCATCGGGACTCGTGCTTTTCAGCTTGTTGTCTTTCTTCCACTTCATCCTCCGGTTCTGGAACCAGATCTTGATCTGCCGCTCCGTGAGGCAGAGCGCGTGCGCGATCTCGATGCGCCTCCGCCGCGTGAGGTACCGGTTGAAGTGGAACTCCTTCTCCAGCTCCAGAGTCTGGTAACGGGTGTAGGCTGTCCGCGCGCGTTTCCCGTCGGGCCCGTTCATATCTGAGGGGTCAGGACAAAACGTTTATTATTATTATTATTATTATTATTATTATTATTATTATTATTATTATTATTATTATTATTGGTCCATTTGTCTGACGTTTTAATTGAGATTGTTTCTGCTGTTTGGTTATGTTGCACCAATCGTTACACATTTATAGAAACACAAAACCATAACAAGGGCTGTTTAATAATAATAATAATAATAATAATAATAATAATAATAATAATAATAATAATAATAATAATAATAATAATAATAATAATAATAATAATAACCAGCTGCTCCTAAACGATTCGGTTGGATTGTTACGTTTCTGTTTCCTTCCTCTCTCTCGCTCTCCTTCCCTTCGGGGGTTTATTGCTCGGCCTCGGCCTCACCTCTCTAATAAAGTTCCCACAAGCAATAAAGCTTCTCTTTTCAAAAGAGCAGCCAGAGCCTCCCGGCTTCCCTCCTGCCTTTCCCACACTGCTGGGCTTTGCCCGGGTCTCTTCTCCCGGCAGGTTTATCGCGCTTATGCGGGACTTAATAAGAAAAGGAGAATAAAAGATGAAGAGACGCTGAAGCAGGCCGGTTTGGGGTTAAGAGTAAAACCGGGTGCAACATGACTTTGATATATTCTGAATATTTTCTCTAACCAAGCAAGTCGATATTTATTCTCCCCATATGCTGAGATTTCTGGAATGATTTTGACTCGTGACCTATGACCAGTGCGTTGTTCTTCCCGGCTGTCACTGTTCAGGGCCCAGTTTACAATCAGATCAAAGCACCGACTGTTCTGTTGGGGTGTCAGCTGTCAGCAGCTCTGTGGCTCCATCAATAACAAACTTGTGACTAACACAACAGATAAAGATGAGGATGATGAAGAGCAGCGTGTACCATGGCTGATGTGAAGCTTCCTCATCCAGGGGAAGATCTGCGGGCTCTGAGCCTCGCTGTACGCCCCTGATCCCGTCGGAGTGTTCTCTTTCTTCTGAACCACCCGCTCGGCGCTGAGCGTCGGATTACTCCCGTGACCGGCGTCCCGGTTGTTCCACAGCTCCTCTGTTTCCGATGACGCGTCGTCCAGCTCCGTGTAGCGCAGCGCCGCGCCGCCAGCGGGTGATGAAGACGAGGAGGACAATGGAGAGCTGAGGGTAGTGCTACCGGGTTTCTCCCAGTGAGGGCACGTCTTCTGGGGTTTCTCAACCCCGCCGGACTTGAGCGAGCTTCCCGCGGAGTTCGGGGAGCAGCTGGGGGGCTGTCTGAAGCCAAAGCCCAGGGAGTTCTCAGCCAGCGAGCCGCCCCCAAAGTGTCGTCCACTGTCTGCCCTGTTGCACTCTCCTCCCCGGTTGGTCACGGTCAGATCCATGCCACTGTAGCCGTAGGAGCCGGTGGCGTGGTGCGCGGTGGCGGAGGAAGAGTCCCTGAACGCCGCGCTGCTGACTCCATAATTCAGTGGCTGGTAGTCTGGACCGTTAGGGAAGCGCCCCGAGAACGAGTTTACAAAATAAGAGCTCATTTAGCTGTTGGAGAGCGAACAGCTGAGCAGGAGGGGGGCACCTTAAGTTGTCAGGTTTCTCCTGCTCGTTGTAACGCGGCACTTTCTACGATTTATGATGTATTAGTGAATTATGGCGACGCACTGTACTTCGGTTTTAGCTGGATGCGCCGTTCAAATAAGGGGGTGGCGAACGCGCACGCGCGCGTGTGTGATGGGGAAGGTGAGGGAGGAGACAGAGCGAGAGCGACACGGACGAACGGGGAGGGGTGGTCACGTGCTTTTGTAGACCAGTCGTAAATTCTCACCGATGACTTGGGAGAGGTAATTCTTTCTCTGAGGTTTCTAATGCTAAAGGGTTGGGCGAGGGAGAGAGAGAGAGAGAGAGAGAGAGAGAGAGAGAGAGAGAGAGAGAGAGAGAGAGAGAGAGAGAGAGAGAGAGAGAGAGAGAGAGAGAGGGAGGGAGAGAGAGAGAGAGAGAGAGAGAGAGAGAGAGAGAGAGAGAGAGAGAGAGAGAGGACATCTCGCTCGTGATTTAAGAGCGCCACCCACTGCTCCTATTATTTATTGCACCTATTTGTGGGGCCGGGTGAGGGTGAGGAGCCTCATAGATGAGTTATAAAACACCCACCTCTCTTTCTCCATCACCCCCCCGCCCCTTGCGCACGGACGTGCGCGTGCACGTAGCCGCTCTTTTAATTGACCTGGATTTAGAATCCAGACAACATAAAGAGCAGAAACAGCTGCTTTCAGTCTAGCTTCAGCTGAAAGTGCATGAGACCTGAGAAAGGAAGCGGAGCAGCATCAGTACGAATCATTTCAGTCAGAAACGCAACATGGAGGGTCACAACAGGCCAGATTCATCCCTACAGGAAACAGGAAGTAAGCGGACAGCCAGACCTGCTGTTTATTTTCCCCTTTTCTGGTTTTAGTTCCTAATCCAGAAACAGAGAAAATGTATGAAAGAGAAGTGATTCTCTCCTCGGGTCCTTCTTGCCCCTCCAGCTGAGAGGCAAGAATGTTAAACCTGATCTGAGACATGCACACAGGGTAGAAATCTGCTGATTTATGATTTGTTGATTCCCCCGTCGGGGTGCATTTCAGCCGGGTGCCTCTGTGCGTCTGAGTTGGCCTCGGCGTGCACTCCAGCGTGCACATTTTTTGTTTGAACTTCGACACACTGGTTAGACCAGAGGACAGATGAAGGATTCCAGAATTGTGTGTGTGAAGTGATACAAATGGATGTGGTGTGAGTGTGTGTGTGTGTGTGTGTGTGTGTGTGTGTGTGTGTGTGTGTGTGTGTGTGTGTGTGTGTGTGTGTGTGTGTGTGTGTGTGTGTGTGTGTGTGTGTGTGTGTGTGTGTGTGTGTGTGTGTGCGCTGCAGACCCATTCTCAGCTGCATTCTCGTGATAGGCTAAGCTGGAATGCAAATACCGCAGCATCAACATTTAGAGATGGAATAAAATAATAAAAGCACACTATCTCTGAGCTCAGGGGACATGACATTATTTTTATTTTCATGTCAGCTAAAATCATCCAACTTTTAACTGGGAAAAGTCTGAAGTACTGGGACAAAGAGCCTGGAATACCAGGATGAGATTCGGGAACAGGCAGGAAGTACATCCATCAGTCAGAAGATCAACAGACCTGATTTAAAAAAACAACCGTGTGTGTGTGTGTGTGTGTGTGTGTGTGTGTGTGTGTGTGTGTGTGTGTGTGTGTGTGTGGCGTGCGTGTGTGTGATGTTCATTCTGGAGTGTTATTTCTACTGCTGCTGACCCTCTGGGGCGCTCATTAGTCGTTTTTTATTTTTATTTCAACTCCACGGAGTTATTGTAGTTTATAGCAAAAGTGTATTTCTGTTGTTAGTTTTCAAAAATATTTAACTTCATGCAGAAAATGAGAGGAAAACGGACGTTGTCCCTGTTCTGGCAAAATAATTCCCAAAATAAAACACGAACAAGTTAAACAAACATTATTTTTAACACTACGCACTACTATACTATTATTACTACAGTATTACTAATACTATATTATTAGTATAACTATAAGACACTTTAGAATAATGTTGCTAATTTTAGAACATTATATGATTGTTCAAAAATACAGAATACATCACAATTGTGTACATTTGAATATAAACGGATGATTGTGTAATACTTTTTGAAAAGTTGTTGAACAAATGATACTATTTCTGATCAAATATAGATTATTAGAATATTTTAGAATGTTTAATATTTGAGGATCTGCCTCAGTGTCATCTTCTTCCTGTTCATCAGCATCATCACTGATGGTGAGAATGGTTGGCACAGTCGCTGTCCTTCTCCCATAGAAATCTTAGTTTAAAACCGCAAAATGTATTTAGTGTCATCCTTTATATTATTACTGTTACCATGAATATATGGTTATGTCTGAAAACAACAGATTTTACCCAAAATATTAATACTTTATTTTCCTTGTTCATGTTCGAATGGCGGACGTGATTTCACCAGCTTCATGGCGTTTAACATTTACAACACATACGTCCTCATTTAGCACAACTAACCTTGTGACGTGAAACTTTGAGAAACCGAGCGTTGTTAGTTTCAGAGATCTGACCGTACACACGCGAGGATGCCGAGCCCTTCTCTGGCTCTGCTTTGGCGCACTATAGCCCCGTCCTGATTGGTGGCGCCATGCGCACACCGTGACTAACCTTAGCTCTGATTTCTTGGGTGAAATCCCGTAATGCTAAGAGTTCGTGAACTTGGCCATAAAAAGGGTTGAACAACGACACATGAACACTGGAATACAGCAACCAATGAGAGGGCGCTGCTCCATGTTTCCATGAGGCCAATCAGGCCAAACGGTGGTGAAATAAAGTCGTGCGTTTGTCTTGTTTCCTCACATGAAGGTATGATGAAAAATAGATAAAACATTGTGTGAACGTTAATTCAAGTCAGATGAAATATTTGCTGCATGTGGAGAGTGATAAAACTGGGTTATTTGAAGGGATTGAATGTTGTGTTTTTGCTGTTATATTACTTGTAAGCTGAGGATGTTCCTTCAGTAACGTCACATAAACAGAAAAACACCATCAGCTGGACACATGTCTCATGTCTAATTCACTATCGATGACATCAAAAGAACCAAAGGTGACATATCCTCTGCTGCTGTGGCCCCCAGACTCTGAGCCTGAGATCAGTGGACTCGGTGGTCTCCTTTAAAAAACAGCTGAAGACTCACTTGTTCAGGCTCTGGTGGGAGCTTCATCACCACTTTCTCCCTACTCTGCTCTTAACCCCGCTTTCCTGGGATCCACTGATTTCCCTCTTTCTCATTAACTTTCGCTCACCTCTTCCTCACATTTTTAAATCACAATTTAACATTTTTTGAAGCGCTTCGTGATTTTTATCTTGGGAGGCGCTACATGAGAGATCGTTTCCTTTCTTTCTTTCTGAGCCAATCCCGTTTCTCCGCCTGCGCGCCCGTGCGCGTCAGTTAAACCTTAAACCAGGGTGGGGGCCGTGGTCACTCTGAGGACAAGTAGAGTTCAAAAGGTCACCAGGACACAGTTCACTTTGTCTGGATAATGTTAGTGTGTGCGCGCGCGTGCGTGCGAGAGAGAGAGTGTGAGAGAGAGAGATAGGTCAACTTTCTCCATCAGCGGAGCCTTCAACAGGAAAAGACTCAGAAGTTTCCGAGTCTCAGAATGATGAAATAAAACTGGTTCTGTTCAACAAACGCGCTCATCTGTTGGTCTAATCCATGGCGCAGCGCTCCACCCACACGAAGAATCCTTCAGACTCAAGTCTTTACCTTTTATTGGACATTTCTGGTGGCACACAGATTGGGTTCACCAACATCAAATCAGGTAGACCACCTGCTGTGGGGGTGGTCTGAAGAACAACATCAGAAAGTTAAACCAGAATCTATCTGAACGTATAAGAGCTGAGGAGGAAATAAGTGCTGCTCTTTTGTTTTTCACCGCAAACGGAACACGTGTTTCCGGGTCCTTCCCCCAAAGATGGATACACACTCCAGGTATGTGCCACCTCGCATCTGATACATGACAGAAGATAGAAAGCTACAATAAAACCATCTACAAACAAGTTCCTCGTCAGTAAAATAAAGAGCCTGTAGTCTGAACGGAATGCTTCAGAACAGTCAGAGGAGCAGCGTCGCTGCTTGTGCCCAAACACGAACAATCCCTCCAGCGTCGCGGAAATAAAATATCTGTGTTACTTCTACACTGGCCGGTTCTGCTTCAGTCTCACTAACAGGAGTAGCTCCACGCTCTGGGGACTTCCGTCTCCTTTTTTCTTATTTTTACTGATTTTCCACGCGCGCTGCAACCCCCCCCCCCCCCCCCCCCCCACACACACACACACACACACACACACCCGGTGCGATCTGTCTTTAGAACATCCGATTGGAGGGCTCGGGGGAATATGAGTGTCTAACCCTGACCCTAATTAATAAATAGTTAATTAATTAAGTGTTTGTACGCGCAACTTTCTAATATTTGTGGATCCACGGACTTCTCATTAAGTCTCGATATTTGTTGACATTTACATGATCTCCATGTTGCAGTTCTGCTCTGAGAACATCGGATGTCCTTCTGTGGACAGGTCGTCAGCTGCTCTTCCTCCTCATCAGTTTATTTGTGTGTTTATTTATTTTATTCGGTCCGTTTGTCTTCTTCGTCGGGTCCGTTCACCGTGGAGGAAGAGGATGTAGAAGAGGAAGAGGATGAGCTAACCAGCTTGGTCTCTTTCTTCCACTTCATCCTCCGGTTCTGGAACCAGATCTTGATCTGCCGCTCCGTGAGGCAGAGCGCGTGCGCGATCTCGATGCGCCGCCGCCGCGTGAGGTACCGGTTGAAGTGGAACTCCTTCTCTAGCTCCAGAGTCTGGTAACGGGTGTAGGTCTGCCGCCCGCGCCTCCCGGGGTTTCCGAATGTTCCTGAGACAGACGCACAGAAAGGTTATGATGTGACGTCATCAGCGACCACTTAGTCTGTATTTATGTAAAATAGTTCTAGATCTGAGTTCGGTTCGGTCGGGTTTGTACAAGAACAAGAATCGTAATTTTATTCATGATCTTCTGTGTTTCACAGTCACAAAAACCCTGGAGTCAGATGTGACCCTATAATAATAATAGTAATAACAATAATAATAAATATAATAACAACAATAATAACAATAATAACTATAATAATTAATAATAATAATAATAATAATAATAATAATATAATAATAACAATAACAATAATAATAACAACAACAATAATAACTATAATAACAACAATAATAACAATAATAACTATAGTAATAATAATAATAATAATAATAATAATAATAATAATAATAATAATAATAATAATTATAATAATAATAATAATAATAATAATTATAGCCTTTTCTCAGTAAAAACATGTTTGTACTTTTATTCTCGTTTTCCTGTCACAGACTGATTTCTGAAGGTTTACCATCTCCAGATGCTCCATCGTGTTTCTCTCCTCCGGACAACAGCAGCAGATTATTCTGCTTCTCAGAAGCTGAATAACATAAACCAATTGTCTCATTTCATAACAATAAGGATGCATGCGACCTTAACGAAAACCTACAGAACTCTGTCAAACAAGAGAATCAAATCTGAATGAATGATAAAACAGGAAAACTTTTTATTTTATTTTATTTTATTTTATCCCCGCCAGTTCGCTGCCCGGTAGATCCGGGCTATAAACCACACGGCCCTGACGCACTGACAGGTCAACAAACGGCTCGGGACAGCCCAGAGACTTTCACGGGAAACGTCACTTTTATGACGGGGTCGTAAAACGCGTGAAACAAGGAGGAAGAGCACACTCACCGTTACACGCGTTCATCCTCTGCATCCACGGGTAAATCGGGGCTGACGTCGCCTGCTTGTCATCCATCGTTTTCACAAACAGTCCCTTAGCTCCTAGCCCCGCGCACTCCACCTTCCGGTGCACACCGCCCTGGCTCATTGCGAGCTGCTGCTCCTCCAGACTACACCCGTGGTCCTTGTCTCGGTAGAAGGTTTTGGCGGTCGCTGCAGCCGCCGCTGTGCCATAGTCGCATGCACCGGCTCCGGTAGAACCTAGTCCGACCCCTGCAGCCACTGCCCGGTGCTCGCTGTATGCTCCGTTAGCTGCCTGCTGGTAGTAGGAGGATCCCGGGAAGGGTTTCTCCTGGTGCACGGCACCACCCGCGCTGTACGCCACGGCCGCAGCGGCGGTAACAGTTGCTGCCCCAGGGTAGTGTCTGAGAGGGTGGTCGGTGTATCCTGGGGAATAAAGCGAGATCTGGCCCAGGAACGGTTCTGCCGCCGCCTGGCCGCCTCCACCGGTTCCCGGTATCACCGGGAAAGAGGAGTTTACAAAATATGAACTCATTGGTGAAAAGTGGAAGTAAAGAAGGAGGAGAAGAGAAGAAGAGGGGAGGACAGAAGGGAACGTAACCAACACAACAACACGGTTTCCACGCTGAAGGAGTAGGAGGAGTAAACTCCAGCTCGGTTCTTCCTACCGAACTCTTCCGCTGCTGCACTTTTTGATTTGTTGTTTTATATCCGACAGTCCGGCGGGCTGCTGCTATCACTTAGTTTATCACAGACCGGGAGGAGGGGTGAGGAGGTGGGGGCGACGGTGTGGCTGAGCGGGAGGTAGGGGGCTACAGAGGGGAGAGGAGAGCTGCAGGGGACGCGGGGACCAGCTGACCCTAGGCTGACCAATTGGAGGGCTCCGTGCCTGGCATCAGTTCGCTCTCTCTTCCTTTCGTTGCCCCCCCCCCCCCCCCCACACACACACACACACACACATCCGTTCTCCCGCTATAATTGTCATTCCATCTCTTTTCTAACCTCCTGCAGCTCCCGGTAAGACGCACAATTACACCAGAATTCTCCCGCGGTAAATTGATCGTGTCTCTTCTTGTGCGCCGTCCTTCGTCTGCTGTTGGACCCATAAAATCAGCAGCTCACGAGCGTTTTCCGCGAGTGTGTGTGCTCGCGCGCACACACTGTGGGTGGGGGTGTGGGGGCTGCTGCAACTCCGGAGGAAACTGAATCTGTAATCCTGGTGTTTGAAGATAATAGCCCACTGATCGCATCAAAATAAATTTGTTGAGTGTTTGCAACACGCAGGTGCGCGTCCGCGTGCGCGCGCTGGCAGGAAACGTGAGTTATGGCCTATAATGTGGTCTCCATTCCTATAATTTAGATTTGTTTGCGATTGGTGGGTCTTAATGTGTGTGTGTGTGTGTGTGTGTGTGTGTGTGTGTGTGTGTGTGTGTGTGTGTGTGTGTGTGTGTGTGTGTGTGTGTGTGTGTTCTGCTGTGGAACCTTTTGGGTGTTTTAAGGTCGGTTTCAGGTTTTTACGCGTTGTGTGCCATGAATAATTTTCTTTGCTGTGACACTGATTAGGATGAAAGAGGAAGAAGAAAGAAAACAGTCAGAAAAAAATAACGTTTTGTTTGTCCTTCGTGACACTGATTAGGCTGAGAGACCGTCTGAGTGAGTACAGGAGACAGGAGCCGTGGCTTTGTGACTGACCTCAGTCTGACCCCTACATGAAAATAAATAATAACAACTTTATTCATCTTGGAAGGAAAAGTTAGAGAGAGAGAGAGTGTGTGTGTATGTGTGTGTGTGTGTGTGTGTGTGTGTGTGTGTGTGTGTGTGTGTGTGTGTGTGTGTGTGTGTGTGTGTGTGTGTGTGTGTGTGTGTGTGTGTGTGTGTGTGTGTGTGTCATATTTTCTCATTTAGGCAACAAGGAAGAATTGATCTGGTTGACAGAAACTTCTGGCTCAGGTCGAACAGCCGCGGTGATAAATAATCACTTCTGTGTTCGCGTGCAGGCTCTGGCTTGTCTGCAGACACACTGCAGACGATCCGACTGATAAATCGGTACAAAGACTTTAATTTTTACTTTTCCTTCTCTCCCTCTCCAACATCCATCCCATTAGCAGATGTTTCTGTTTTCTCCAGTAAAATCAGCGAAACCGGAGAATCGGTGTGTTGAACCAACATCTCTGCTGTAGAGCTCTGTTTTCGCTCTCTCGCTACTGTTTAACTGCCCCCTCTCCCTCCCTCCCTGCCTCTGTCGCAGGCAGGACGCTCCGTTTCCTCACCACTTTGTGGGAACGGGAAGCAGCCGAATCGTCCTGAAACCTCTGGGGTTGAATCACTGATGAGTTCGGAGCTCCGGGATAGGCCCGGCCCGGCTCGGCCCACGGCCCGGTACACCTACACACAGCAGCACGCGCACTCCGGCTCGGGGGCAAACGTGACATGATAGTGACAGCGATTATAGAAACGGTTAATGCTTAACAAGAGTTACGTCACTGCCGATATGAGTGTTAGCTTCCACCTCTCTTCACTACATGAAACAATGACGTCACCGTTAGTTAAAATTAGAAGGTTAAATTGGGACAGATTCTCAAGAGCTGTGTCGCTGCAGGTGGACCCAAAGGTCAAAGAGCACCCGAGGAAGGAGAGGATGAGTAGAGGAACCGAACACTGGGTGTTTGGATCCAGCGCGCGAAGGCCAAAAAGTGTGAACGCAACGCAGCGCCGGTAGCACCGGTTGTTTTCCCCGTTAAGGAGAGTCACCCGAACCAAAATGATCATGGCCGACATGAGTGGAATAAAATGTTTTCAGTTCAGACTCCGAGCGTTAAAGAACAATGTTGTTCCTCCTGTTAATAATATAGTATTGATGTACTTATTTGTTTGTTTATTTATTTATTTATTTATCCTCACAGGGTCACACATAAATGATTTTCCCGGTAGAAACGGCGTTCCTCTCACAGGGACACGTGAGCTGACTGCCTCCGTCGCCTCTTTGGTTCAGGACCGTTTTAGAGGCCCGACTTTGGTGAAACTGCCTCCAGCCCGAAGCGCGAGCATGTTCTGGAGCCGCGCGGCGCAGCGGAGGTCTCCCACGACCCGCCAAGATGATTATTAACGCGTCTCATAACGGAGACAGGAGATCAGCTCGTTGTAGTCCCGCTCAGTAAATCAGACGTTAGTGTGTGAGCGAGCAGCAAAGTAAACACCTGAGAGGAACCTCAGGAATGTGAGAAACTTCAGAGATCAGCGACAATTAAAGCCGTGTGTGTGTGTGTGTGTGTGTGTGTGTGTGTGTGTGTGTGTGTGTGAGTGAGTGTGTGTGTGTGCGCGCGCGCGTGTGTAGCACAGACAGGGATTTGAACTTTTATGGCTTTATTGCTGCTTGTAAACTGGGGAGGTGGCAACAAAGTGAAAAGCAGAGAGCAGATGGACAAATGTCACACACACACACACACACACACACACACACACACACACACACACACACACACACACACACACACACACACACACACTGTACTCTTTCTGTTAAAACAAGCAAGGTGAAATAAACTTGTGGGTTTTTATTTGACTTTTGCGTATCTAATCTACATAAAACAGGTGAAAGCAGCTTCTCACAACCAGAAAGGCTTTTCTTTGAGACTTGTGAACAATGACCTGAGCAGGATTCAAGCAGCTGAATCCGCTACTTAAGTCCCTTCTCCAAGAAGGTGTCAGAATTAAGCAAGGAGCGCGGAGCTGGCTGTTTCTTAGCCTTAATAGTGCATGAGTTTAGTGCATGAGTTTAGTGCATGAGAGGCCAAATCTCCTCATGTGCGTCGGTTTGGCTGACCTCTCACGCACTAGTTAATAACAAACTCACAGGGGCCTAACTTGTAAAATAATGTATTATAATGTATTAATGGTTTCCAGGCAGCACGGGGTGGTTGGGCGTCCTGTTCAGTGTAGCCTGTGAGCGCGCTCCGGGTCACATCACGGGAGGTTCCTGGGGCCACGGTGGTTAAACGTTAACGTGCCAAGAAAAGCAACTCCGCTCGGAAAAACGTTATTTTTCCAATCTCTGTTTCCGCGTTGTGAGATGAAAACGGACACGCGCACGTTAGGAGTGATAATAATAATAATAATCATAATAATAATATTATTAATGTTAATAATAATAATAATAATAATAATAATAATAATAATAATAATAATAATAATAATTTATTATTATTATTATTATTATTATTATTATTATTATTAATATTATTATTATCGGAATTCATTTCCATGAATCTATTATTTTATCATTATTTGACAAGAAAACAATCAAACTGATATTTTGTCCCTAACCCAACAACAACGACAACGATAATAATAATAATAATAATAATAATAATAATAATAATAATAATAATAATAATAATAATATAGGCCACAAAACAGCTGTATGCCAGAATTTGAATCAATAAGGAGTCCGTGTTTCTGAACTGACATTGCTGCTGGTGCTGTTGGGGTCTGAGGGTAAACAGAACCGCTCTGGGTTCGGATGTAGAACCCAAAGGGACCGAGCACTGGTTGTATTCTTTGCTTGTGCACGCTACACTCATACACTCAGGTGATGTGCCGCCCACCGCATCTCTCACCGTCACAAACACCGGTGAGTGTCACTGCAGAGGTCCAACTCTGTCCATCGCTTCCACACCAAGGCGCTTTGTCTTCACCCCACCCCAATAAAAATGCCTTGAAAACAAAACCTGGAATGCACCGGGGGGGGGGGGGGGGGGGGGGGGGTCTCTCTCTCTCTCTCTCTCTCTCTCTCTCTCTCTCTCTCTCTCTCTCTCTCACACACACACACACACACACACACACACACACACACACACACACTCACACACACACACACACACACACACACACACACACACACACACACACACACACACACACACACACACACACACACACACACACACACACACGCCACAATGACTTTACGCAGGACCTCCAGCGGGTAAAGCAGTCCATAAGCGGGATCCTGACAGGAGACCGAGTTTTCTTTGGGGTCGTGCGTGTAATCGTTTTTGCCTGCATCACTCTCTCCACGCCAGTAGCCTGGAGAGACTGGTCCTGCTTTGAAATGAAAACCCTGTCCCTCAGCCACAAACGTGCTTCTCTTTCACTCACACCAAAGCAGACCGGTAGAAACGGAAATACGTATTTCCTCGCGTGCACGAGCATCTTCCTGCATCTTTATTACCAGCATGAAGAGAACAAAGAAAAGTCCCGTGAAGGCGTGCTGCTGGTGTAATGACGGCGCTAGATGGCGCCAGAGTCAAAGTGTTGCTGCTGCTGACGGATCAGATGGACCACAGCTCTGAGCAGCGACCGGCGCCTCGCCCTGACGGCCGGATCACAGCCGAACCGGGACTAAACCTCCGCCACCGCCGGTTCTGAAGCAGCTCCCGGACTGGGAGAGTCCCAGTGTTTCTGTTACTGAGTATGCAATTAAAGCATAAATGAATACATAAAAACTACAACAAAACAAAAGAAAAACATTGAAGAAAAAGTAATATAGTAATTGGTAAACGGCCTGTATTTGTACAGCGACTACCCTCGAGGCGCTTCACAACACAATCAGTCATTCATCCATTCACACACGGGTGGGCATGAGGTACGACATAGCTACAGCTGCCCTGGGGCGCACTGACAGAGGTGAGGCTGTCCAGCGCTGGCGCCACCCGGGTGCCGAACACTGGGTTAAGTGTCTTGCCCAAGGACACAACGGCAGCATTCTCTAGTTGGAGCCAGGATCGAACCTGAAACATTCTGATTACTGGACCACCCGCTCTACCTCCTGAGCTGCTGCTGTCTATGTTATTATAATGTTATTACATGCTAGCAATTGTAATTCAACAGCAACAAAACAAGTGAATACACAGAAAACTAC